AGCAAAAACAAACATGAAACTGATTTTGTCATTTTGTATTTTTCCCAACATCCGCTAGATACAAAATACGAAATACCAAATTACCAAATATGTCACAATTTTTGTATACAAAATCGGTTCACGTGATCATTTTGTTCACAAAATATGCCAATTCGGACACGGCCTGAACTTCGCTGATTTAAACGTCGCATCGTGGCATTGTAGAGTGGCGAATACCTGCGAAGGAACTTTGTTTTACCGAGCTAGGTGGCGCGCAGTGTGGCTCTGCCATCGTAGCTCAGCGGCAGTGGCCCGACTTGTAGTCGGAGGTTCAGAAGTTCGCTCCCCCTGTTCCTCCCTGGCAGATTCTTCACTTCGCGTGTCGCGCTCGTGTGTGCTGTGAGTTTTGTCGTCAGCTCGGTCCGGTATGTTACTTGAACTCTTCATGCCGGAATCGCATAACCCCGACCAGCACGACACCGCAAGCACGACACGACACTACACTTAAGGCCCTTACACAGTTGTAAACTTTAACATTTGACTTTACGATTGCTTTCCCACATGTTGTTTCTTATGGAACTTGACACAATGGAACTGTCAAAAGCAAAGTCAAGCATTCTTGACTTTTCGATTTCGAAAAGTTGAAATTTAAAGTCAAAGTCAAGTAGTCATTCTGCATAGAATCTAACAGAGGTTATGTGGAAAGTGTGTTGTTTTATTGTAGGGCGATTTTAATCTCGGTATATTAAACAAAGCTCGTCTTAAATTAAATAAATGGCAAACGAATATCATGCGAAGAGGAAATATATGAATTGACATATTTTAATAAAGCAAACAAATGTGTTTTTCGTTCTGAAATAGGCTTAAAATTTATATTAAAAGTTTATTTTAAAAAAAAGAAACGTAAAATGCGTTTCTGAACAATAGCATAATTATTTTCATAACGAGATACGCATTTTTCGAAGCTCGCAGAAACGTTGTTAAGTTGTCTGAATTCTGACTTTACAATTGTATTGTGTATTGGTGGTTTCGTCAGAGGAAAGGAAATGTAAAGTCAAATGCTAAAGTTTTCTATTGTGTAAGAAGCTTTAAAACCACCCCCTTGAAACTTCAATAGATTTTTGAGAGCCTACATTGTAGTTAACAAAATTCTCAAGAGGTATCACATGAGTTTCTGCTGTGAATTCGTAGGAGCGCTAAAGTCGCAGAGTAATATTGATTGAAACCTAAATTATTTATAATTTATTGACAAAATAGTCTAAAGAATAATACATCGTGTAGTTAAAATTACGTTTCGAATTTGGTACATTCAAAACGTGTGAATATTCTCTTAAAAAATTTTTACCACACCGAAAGTTTTTGTGTTGACTCGGCCTCATGTTGTGTTTTATATTGCGGTTTTGTTAATCCGTAGAAATTTTTTATTATAATCATGATATAAATTGCGTGGTGATTTGGGCAATGTGAATATAATTTCACCTACGAATGTTAAAAATGGCGAAGATCATGCATAAATACAGACGTTGTGTCTCATCGTGCAGGAACAAAAAGTTATTTATGTATACATCATTTAGATCTTCACAGTTATTCGTGTCCTGGTGGCTCCATAGATTTTTATACTGTATTAAACCTTACTACGTCGAAGTGGCGAGGGTCTGTATACAGTACATGTAACAGTGCCCTTACCCTCCATCCGAAACCAGCGAGAAGACAATGAGATAGTGTAAATATCCATAAATCGATTGATTTAGACTTTCAATACCTTCGATACATTATGAGTTAACATTTATGAATCGATTCATTACAAATTTTCAACCGATTGTACCACGAGTTTCTGCTGTGAATTCATAGACAGCAGCACTGTCGCCTGACGTACTCGTTCTTCAACTGAGATACTAGAGTTTCCGATATTCTTTAGTTATATCGTTGTTGCTTAAAACTAAACAACCAATGGAATACAAGATAGATCTTACGTAAGCCCGACAATTCTGTCGTACGGCCAGCAGTTTTGGATTAGAAATTATTTCTATTCTTCGTCGCGTCGTGCGGCACGACGCACAGTGTGTACAGATTTGCAAAATAATTGTATAATAAGCTTTCCCTGCAATGGGAAATACGTAGCTTAAAAGAAAAAACAAATTATGTAAATTATTGTATTTTAACTCTTATAAATAATAATTTCACCATCGTATGCATTAGCTATAAAACCTTGTCACCATCATGTATTTCAAATTTACCGTCTGCCCACCTCGTTTTGAACAAGCGTAGTTAATCAGCGCCTTCTAAATGAATCCGAAAAATTCTTACTCGTCGTGTTGCGTCAGTAAACTGTTGGACTGTAAATTCGAGCAGGCACATTGAAGATGGTCGTCGTTGCGGTTTTTGTCGTGTCGTGCTAAGCTCGTCGGGGCTATGTGATTCCGGCATTACACGGCAAAATACACTCACGCTGTCAAACGTCACACAAGCTATGTCCAACGGCAAATGTTTCGGTCACTGAAATCCATAAAGCTTGGCTCACAACCATCCGTCGCTTCCGTCAGTCGTCCGTCCGTCAGTCAGCCATCCGTTGGTTTTTCGTCCGTCAGTTGAAAGCGATTTACAACATTCCGTCGATCCGTCGGGCCAGAAAATGTTCAGTGATACCACACAACAACACTATCTTTCTCGCACATAGGCAAGTATTTTTAATGCGTGTAATAAATACACTCTCTTTCCCTAACGTAATTTATCAGCATTTCCTCCGGACATCTCACAAGTCATCTTTAGTTCAATTCAAAGGTGAAACGTAAAAAGCAAACAACTTCAGTGCCTTGTGTATTTAATAGAAAGAAAAATATTCAGACAAAAAACAAGTGACTGTTTTCCGACAGCCATGTTCAAGGAACGATATTACAAGGCGGTGGCCCATCCGTCCGTCCGTCGAAAGTTAAAGTTTGAGATATATTTGACGGGTTGACGGATAGAAATAAAAGTTGCCCTGCGATTGGTTGAAGATCACCTGACCGACGGACAGACGGGTAACTGACGGATGAAACGGATAGTTGTGATTCCAGCTTAAGTCAACTTTAAGAAAAATAGTGGTTTGCTTTCGGACTCGCATTTGGCCGGGCCTGGCTTCGAATCCCTGTCCGGCCATCTTGATTTCTGTTTTCCCTGGTTTTCCCGAAATCACTCTAGGCGAATGCTGGGATAGTACCTTGCCACAGGCCATAGCCGCTCCCTGTTTCTCCAAACAACTTGCTCCGTCTCTACAATGTAAACATTTGTGCAAACTATACTGAGGCCGTGTCCGAATTGTCAGATTTTGTAGACAAAATGATCATGTAACCAGCTGGTGGGTTCCCCCCCCCCCCCCCTTCAAAAATGGTGACGTATTTGGTAATTTGGTATTTCGTATTTTGTATCTAGCAGACGTTGACGAAATCAGCGCCATGTTTATTTTTACTTTTAAAACAAATGCGCGAATGCGTACATAAAATGACGTTTAAAACAAATAACTTTACATAAAATACACTAGGCATGTTTTAGAATGCAAGTAAGTGTTGTGCTTTGTATTGTAATACTGCAATTATTTATAATTTTCCTATATATTAAAGTATTCGTAGTATTCCAGTGATTATTGCGTATGTTTCAAGCATTAAATTTCTATAAATATATTCTGCGTTGTTAATGTAAAATGTGTTGCCGCGAGTGCTAAACAAGTGACTGTCGACAATGTCCGAATTGATGCCTACCAAATCACGCATTTACAAAATAACGAAATAACGAAATTTGTCAATTCGGACACGGTCTGAGAAATTCTTTGTAATTTTTCGAATGCGTGTAACAGTACTATGATGTGTCTTGTAAAACTTCAAAGTCCAAGTTTGTAATAGACCTCAAGAAATGTTCGTACAATACTGACCCTTATCCACGAGCTCCAGCATAATGGCGGACATTCAACGACGTAATACCGTATATATCTGTTTGTGTAAAAACTATGTAGTTTAGTTACGTGCAAAAAAAAATGCATAGCAAGTTTAAATAACGTAAAAAACTTAAAACAACTCAATAATCATAATAAAACGAAAATTTCAATGAAACGTGACCATGTTACTCATTAACTGTTAATGTTTCCTAGCTACACAGATCTTAAATCGGCTCTCAAGAGCCGTCCAAATATCTGAACTCAATAAAACAGAAATCTTAGAGTTAAAAAAAATATATTATTCTTAATCAAAGTACTTCCGTAATATTTTGTAGGTATTCCTGAATTATTAGTATAAAATACCTCTTACGTTCGTAAGTCAAGTTGGTCTTAATAATACAAGGGGTATAAGTTCCAGTCCCCATGCTGAAATAATTATGAAATAATTGTTTAAGTTATTCTCTGTTATTAATTTAATACATCGGTTTTATATAATAAAAAAATGTTATGTACACTTCTCACTGATGTAAGTTTTAATATAAGGCTATCATTTGTAATATTACAAGTAAATGTTTTGCAGATTTTACAAGAAAAATGTTTGTAGTTTTACAAAGGATTTTCTTGGCAACTGGGTTTCCAAAAATGTTTCTTGTAAAAGTACAAAAAATTGTTTAGAGTGTAATGATCTCGCTGTCAACGAGACATTCAAGTACCTGCCTTAAACTTTGTAAAGTTGTTTTAATGCACAATACACACTTATTATACAAAAGAATGGGACATGTATACGTGGAGAAACGATTGCTGTTTTATTACTACAAAATTTTTGCTGAGGAGAATTGAGTAATGAGTAGGGTGGTCGCCTTGTGAACGCATGAAATGAGTACATGTTTTGGGCGGAGGTACAATCCTACCAGCTTTCATAATTATTTATGCATTATTAATTGCATTTTTTTGTAAATAATTACACAAATATGAGTGAACAAAAAATTAAGTACGTTTTATTACTTATTTTCAAGCGCTACACCGATTCCCTATCCATTGAGTTGCTATTAATTATCCACTCTTGCGTTTTATAATGCAATGTCGTGTCAATAGATTAAAAAACAAATCCCGCCCGAACAGGGACTCGAATCCTGGACCCTTAGGTTAATTGCGTAATGCTCTACCGCCTGAGCTGTCCGGACTCGCCTGCAATTTTTGGCGAGCTCGGGGTCTTTTATTGGAACAGTCAGACCTGTATAGATGCAGTTTTCTGCAAAAGCCTCACGACAAATAATTTACAGCCTAAATCGATAAGTTGCGAGTTGATTAAAAATATCTAATATGTAGCTATAAATAGACAGTTCGCGTGCTCCTGGCTGCAGTCTGGGGACGAGGGGGCAAGCCAGCGGCCATCTTGGATGGTGTCACGCCGAAACATCCTGCTCTGTTATTCCTTGCCAATGACTGCCATATTGGCTTTCCCTTTTTCCCTCCCACTCTATCAGTCTGTCCAATCTCTTCATGCTCTTGCATTCCTCTTCTTTTTTCTCACACTGTCATTCCGATGTTATTTTTTCTCATGCTCTGGCATTCCTTCCTGTCTCTCTCTCTCGCTCGTTCTATCACTAGATGTTTTCTCATAGTTCTTGCGATCTCCTGTATATTTTCGTTCTTCTTTCCCACGTAACTCTTGCTTTTCGCGTCCTACATCACCGGCATCGTCGTCTGCTGTAGGCAGCCATCTTTGATTACCGCCACCAGTTGCGCAAAATGCCAGAAACTGTATTGCTGCGCAAAACTCAGAATTTTCTATTAAATGATTAAATGTTTGCTATGCAAATATCCTTATAAAAGTTTTGAGTTCCTGCCATTACGTACTAGCGCTAGTGGATACTTTGTAAGGCTGTCATGTATGTCCCGATCTGGCTAACAAAGAAAAGTTGTGCACTTGGATATAGCCCTATAGTGTTCTAGCAGCCTAGTTATGGGAGAGGTACAAGTAAGCATTTCCCTCGCAAAAGAAACAAGGATTAAGTTTTTTTTTTTTTTTTTTTACAAACATGTACACTTGTCATAAAAAATGAGCGATCTCGTGTAGTTGAAAATATTTCTAAGTTCCCTTCGGGTATGTTCGGCAGACTGCCCCCCCCCCCCCAAGTCACAGGCACGTGCCGCTGAGTGGGCGTGGCTAAGAGCTGCAGCAACACATGGTTTTGGAGGAAAAATGATACAAAACACGAATAATAGTTCTGTGAGCTCAGTTTTGTCCGAATATATTCCAGCATATTATATGTAATGCAGTTAAATAAATTAGTAGTGAAACCTTCGGAATTATGAATTAGCCTGTATCAGATCTGAGAAACAAATAGTAAATTATAAATTTGAACATACCACACTGGACCACTGGAAAAATTACTTCCAAATCATGCATAATTGTAACTATGAAAGGAGGTGATACGTTATAATTCCCCTTGGCAACACACACGATATCTTTGAAAATATAAAGTGATAATCACTAAAAATATTAATTAATACATCATATGGAATAATGTTTTCATATGTATGATAATTAGAGACCATGAAATGTCCCGAAATGAAAGGCCTGTTGTCTAGACTTCGCAGTGCTGTGAATACCCGATCAAATACTGTATATTCACTGTTCGTTTCTCCAGTAAGTGGCCAATAGTACTCTAAAACATACAGCACGTGATCCCTAAACGTCTTTCCTTGCCAGTTTCGTATTTACTTCGCACATTCCTGTGTGAGCCTTGTTAACTGTAATCCAATGCAAAGGTAGATTAGGTCTATAAGTGTGCAAAGTTTAGCTTGTCCTCGAAATAATCCGGGCATTTTTCCTTTTCCTGCTTTATTCCGTTCATAAAGTAAAGGCCTATTTTCATGCACCGACATGTCTTAGCCAAATTTGAATTACAGGAATCAAATTTGGATTACAGTAAATAGTTATTGGTTATTAAAGTGTTATAACACGAATTTACTACAGCATTATCTGAGGGGTGATTATAGTCTCTTGAAAGATGTACGGTTATTTAAAAAATATTCACCTTTAAAAACATTATAACACATAAAATACGTGCAACGAGCTACTAGATATATTTCGAAGGAAACTATTCGCATTAATGTGAGCACTTCTTCACTTATTAATGCCTGTCACATTTTATATATGGACGTATGCACCCAAATATCAATAAAGATTACGTATTAAGTCTTAACTCAGTTTTTATTTTCATCTATACACAAACTTAAGTATAAATAAAATTGCTTGCATATATCATGTGTGTGTTATAGCACCATTACGAAAAGTGTTAAGAGCTCACTTTGGCGCGAACAGTCTATAGTACCGTTACATCTAAGCTCGACAGTTCAACTTGAAGTGTTTTGTCATGCTGTGGTTTCTCACCGAACTGCCTCCATTGGCGATTCATACTAGTAACCCAATTTGAAATACTTGGTGGCTGGCAGACACCACACCGACCAGGCACCTAACTGAGTGGTGGATGCATGTCTAAGTGTGCTTTCTAGCATTTGGCCTCTTAGTGTTTCGTGCCATGTTATGCAAATGCTAGTCATTGTGGCGTACACAACTAACATTTGTTTGATAATATTTCACACTGTGATCACAAACATGATTCGTCAACATTATATATATATTTATATTTATAAATCGTTGTCAGTCCCCCAACTACAAAATAAGCAAAATATATGCCAATTTGATACTTGCGTTATCTTGAACTGTCTTACACACGAAACATTCACGCATATAAATATTTACTAAATGAATGTTTCTTTAAGAATTACCTTCCTTGCAGGATAAGGTATTACAGTTTCTAAGTTTGAGTCCAAATTTGTTGACCGAAAACCGAAAATTTATCCGGTGGAAGACCGTATTCAGTGCTTGTACGAAATAGAGAATTACATTTTCTTTATAACACATCTACCCACATCTGACTTTGAAGTCCCCGCACTTTGACCTCATACCTACCAAAATCGTAGAGATTATAGTGACGTAAAGGGTTAGGAGAGTGGAGGTACGTTTTAAACAATAGTAATATGACATGCAGTCAAATGAAAAGTTACTGATCCAGAGTTCCAAAATGTCGTATAGGAAGGTCCATCCCGATCCACTTAAGTTCTATTTCGCAGTGGTTGTTTAAAAATATTTAATCATTTACCACCAATCTGTTCTACTTTCTAACCCTTTCTTCTCCGTTTATCAGGTTTGGTAGTGCAAGTCAGAAAATGAATAAATTCACAATAACAATGTAATTTGTAATGTTGTGAATACCATACAAAAATTACTTTGACGCGAAGGGATGGGGGATAGGAGCGGAGGAACCGCCCGCCATCATGTGGGAATTTCCCTTTTTTTCCCTCAAAATTTCCATGTTTTCCTCAAAATGAACTAAATGTCACTAAAAATTTTGATGTTCAGTAAAAACGTCCCTTTTTCCCCTAAAAAAAATCCCATTTTCCCAGGCAGATCAGTGACCCTGGGTAGAGCAGTGAGACGGATCAGCGACCCAGGATCAAGGATCAACAACCCCGGTGACCGGGATCAGAGACCCCAGGGGCAGAAGAGCAGGGCCAGGACCTTTGCCCTTGACCTTTGACATTTAACCAAAAAAATCCAAAAAAGTAAAAAAAATTCGACCAATTCCAAAAAAAAAAAAAAAAAAAAAAAATTAATCCCAAAAAGTATATTATTAAAAGTACTAAAAAATTTTTTTCAAAAATATTTAAAAACGTATTTTGAAAATTGTTGAAAATGCATCATCAACAATTTATTCAAAATTATTTATAAAACTTTAAAAAATTCACAAAAAATTGTATTATTAAAAATGTATTCAAAATCATTTTTAAAATCTATAAAATATTATTATAAAAAATTAATTAAATAATTATTAAAAATCGTTAAAAAAAATGTATTTAAAATTAACATTCCAGAGGTCATCCCTCACCCATACACATCCACCATCTTGGTAGGTGTAAGGGACGACCATCTTGATAGGTGACCACCATGTTGGTAGGCGACCGCCATATTGGTAGGCAGCCACCATCTTGGTAGGCGACCACCATATAGGTAGGCGACCGCCATCGTGGTAGATATCACCTGTCCGCCATATTGGATGCAGGTAATCATGACCTCAAACCCATGACCTTGAATGACCTTGAAAACCAAAACTCGCGAAAAAATGCATAACAGTCAACAAGCATAATTCATTACAAACTACCACTGCCATACTGTATGTAGGTACCATCGTCCTTGACCCCATGACCTTTAATTATCTTGAAAACCAAATCTCGAGAAGAAATACATAAATGTCAACAAGCATATTACAACTACTACCACCATATTAAATGCAGGTGACCTGACTGTGACCCCTTGATCTTAAATTACCTTGAATACAAAAACTAGAGAAAAATACATCAAAGTCAGCAAGCACATCTCAATACTACCTACTACCACCATATTAGATACAGACTACCTCGACCTTGACATCATGACCTCGAATGACCTTGAAAACAAAAACTCCAAATAAAATACATTAAAGTCATCAAGCATATTACATTATAGATTACTAACGTCATATTGGGTGCAGACTACCTTAACTTTGACCCCATAACCATGAATGGCCTTGAAAACCAAATCTCGATGAAAATAAATGTCTACAAGCACACCATAAAAGTAACAGCTACCACCATAATAGATGCAGACTATGTTGACCGTAACCCTATGATTTTGAATGACCTTGAAAAAACACTTAATAGATTACATAAAAGTCAGCAGGTATAATGCATTACTCACTACGGCCACAATATTAGATGCAGGCAATCTCGACTCGACCTTGACCCCATTACATTGAATGACCTTGAAAACAAAATCTCGACAAGACATACATGAAAGTCAACAAGCATATTACATTCCTAACTACTATGATCATATTATATGTAGGTGAAATTAACCTTGACCTTATGACTTTGAATGACCTTGAAAAGAAAAACGCGAGAAAAATACATAAAAGTCAACAAAAATATTACATTACTAACTACCATCTATTAGACGCAGGTGGCCTGAACCGTAGCCTCATCATGTTGAATGACTTTAAAAACAAAAACTAGAGAAAAGGTACATAAAAGTCAGCAAGCATATTACTTTACAAACTACTACTATCGTTTCAGATAC